TGCCAAGGCTGTCAGAGAACAAGCATTGGCAACTCTACACACAAAACATTTGGAATAAAACACACAAATTTATACAAAGCTGGGAGTTATGTAGTGCTTAATCCCCTTAAACTGTCTGTGGGAGAAAATTTTTGATCTCAGCAGTGGATTTGCTCACAAACATTTCTGCATAAAAATCAACAAAATTGAAAAACTGTTTGCAAACCTTTTGCTTTTCACTGATGCTTTTCCCAACTGCTGCAATTCACAGGAAATTTGTCTTCGGAAATGGCCAAAATCGGTATGTTGTAATGTTGTGCGAGCTCGCCTGTTATGGAAATGAATTCTCTCAGAATTGTTCTTAAGGAAATGTTTGATGTTGTAAGATTCCTGGGTGTATATTCCCACTAAGAAATCAATCCATCCATTTTCTTAACCACTTGTCCAACTTAGGGTTGCAGGGACGCCAATCCCTGTCGTCACAAGGCGAAGGGAGGCAACACCCTGGGATCTCATGAATTACAGGCAAAGGGACCTAAACGGACAGTCGCAGGCAGGCGAGATTAAAGGAAAAGTGAACCTTCATTCAGGACGATTACGGTGTTCAAAATAATGTCCATGAAAGGAAGACTCCAGTAGGGAAGACAGCACCATTTTTACACAAAAGGGTACACAAGGGAGAGCTAAAACCAATCGAGATGACAAAGGAGGAAGTCAAGTGAGACATAAAACACAAGATTACCAGAATAAAAGAGGACATGATTAACTAGAACACCAGACACAGAAGAACTTGACACACGAGGGTAGACTAGAGAAAGTCATAACTCAAACAGACTTAAACTGAATGGACAGGTTCTACTATACCACTTCTTACACTCTGCTTGAGCACCCACAACACTTTACCCTACAAGCCTCATTCACACAAGCACTTGTTTCTTTGTCTAAGTGCTTTCTTTCCTGCATTAACATGCCAGTGAACACGCTGGGAGAAACTCAGGGTTCACTGTTTTGCCAAAAGATACTTTTGTGCGCAGACTGAAATACCACCAACCCCTTCTATGCCACAGCCACCCCAAGTAAGACTAACTCAAAACCTAACAGGTACACAGAGTAAGGATCTCTACTGAATCAACAGAAATAAATGCTTCAACTATAGAAAAGAAGAAGAAGAAGAAAAACAGGATCTAAAAAGCCTAAAATTTAATGTCCTGGGTTCAAGATCCAGAACCATGGCATGGACAACCCAAAAATCCATCAGAGCATCAGGGCTGCCACATAGAAACAGACAAACAGGCAGCTTTTCATGTGCACACCTGCAAACAATTTCAAATAACCATTAGCCAGACTGTGAGAAGAAGCTGGGAAACTCCACACAGAGTGTTCCAGCCAAACAGGTGAGACCTGGTACTAAACATTTGTGCTGTGGTGTGATAGTACAACTACTGCACCACCATTTAAGACTTGAGAGTAACAAACTTTGATCAGATCAAAGCTGCTAAACAAATGCACTTAATCAAGTGCATTTGTTTAGCAACACCTGACTGCTCATCAGCCACTTAATTCCTATGGAAGCAGTAAGGTTGGTTTTCACACCCTGCTTCTGCACTAGTTTCATTTTTGTTAAATAAGGTTGTATTGATGTAATTTTAAGACCCACTAAGGTTTTAATTAATAATGTTTATTAATTCAGATCAGTCAGGGTGTCCATGCTGACGTCCTAAGTAACGTAGACGGTGGAGTGTCCGCGTTGTTTACCTGGGGAACACCTGGCACAAGGATGCATTATTGGAATAAGACAGTGTTTGGGCATTGCCTTCTTGAGTTGGATACAGGACCCTAGGTTTCCCAACAGAACTCATGTGGATGTTACTTTGGCACATACCACCTGCCTAAGCATTGCTGCAGACCCTTTACACACCGTTCATGGAAACGGTACTCCCTGATGACTGTGGTCTCTTTCAGCAGGATAATGCGTCCTGCCACAGAGAAAAATGGTTCAGGAATGGTTTTGTGAGCACAACAAAGAGTTTGAAGTGTTGACTCGGCCTCCAAATCTCGATCTAGTTAAAGGAGGATCTGTGGGAAGCAAGTCTATCCATAGAGCCGACACCTCACAACTTAAAGGATCTTGTCAGGGGGCTGGGTCTGTGACCCAGCTTTTTTTTTTTTTATTTGTAATTTTGGTTTCTTAGATTATATTGAAATATGTTCAGTTCTTGTGGTGTTATTCTTAGTTAGTGTTTAGTTCAAATTTAGTCTAGTTGTGTTATCTCCTTGTCTATCCTTGTTTTCCTTGTGTTTCTCTCCTCTGTGTCCCTCCCCCTCTCTCGCTCCCTCTCTCTTTGTCAAGCTTGTGTGTCCCAGTTCATGTCTCTCCATATTTCCTGTTTTATTTTGTAAGTATTGAGTTTCCATGTTCAGTGCATTTGGCTTTGCTTCCCCTGTGGCGTCTTGTTCATTTGGGTTAGCTGTGTCTCACCAGGTGTTTCCATTACCTCATTACCCCTCTGTGTATTTAAGTCTTCCTTTGTTCAGTGTCAGGTTGTCTGTCAAGTCAGGTTTCAAGTGTTTCATGATTCTGTTCAGGACATGTTCAGGTTTTGTCTCGTAGCTTCTGCTCAGAATCGTGTTCATGTCTCTCTTGGTCACATTTATTATCATCTAGTTTTTTCCAGTTTAGGTTTTAGTTTTCACCACTGTTCGTTTTGTCTTGTGTTTGGATTCATGTTATCAGCTTTAATAAAAGCTCGCCTTTTCTTTAAACAGTAAGTTCATTTCTCCCATGTCTACTTTTGGGAGCGTTTCATAAACACACCGGCCATCCCAGCCGTGACAGATCTGCTGTTAACATCTTGGTCCATATACCACAGCACACCTTCAGGGGTCTGTAGGAGTCCATGCCTCCATGGGTCAGTGCTGTTTTGGCAGCAAAATGCAATATTAGGCAGATGGTCATAATGTCTCTCATTATTTTAAAGATGCTCTGTTATGACACCTCAAACTCAGCATTTTCACCATCGTCATCTCGGTGATCTAAAGTTGGACATGAAAAGCGATGGATCTAACTCAGACACCAACCCTAAAATCAGAGCCTGTTTTGTCTTTTTTGACTCCAGTATTAACCATCATTTACAAAAGGAACATCATGTTACAATGAATAATACTGAAAACTTACAATTCAGACCAAATGATCTTCTAAGATAAGAATTATCACAGACTTCTATACCACTCTACAACAATCCCCTGCCATTACAAAGAACATAGGAGGAAAGAAGCTCACTTTCCTCAGCCAGAAGGTGCAGCCATCTTTTAGATAAAGTCTGTATATAATGAGTACACAGAGCTAACATGGTGACAGAGATAAAAATAAAACTAGTCATTTTGCAGCTCGGCGCTCGAAAAATCTCCAACATTCAGAAACCATCTGTCCAAAAGTGTTTCTCTTTTTCTTTTTTAAGTCCTAAACTCTCCACTGCCAAAGAGCCCAGCCTTATGTAACATGTGACATTTACAACGAGGTCCGTTCCCTGTCTACCTATCTGCCACTCTCTCCTGTGTTTTCCTCCCAAACCCCACTCTGCCCCCATCCTCCTCCCCCTCCAGCTTCTCTTCTCTATCCAGTCTGAAGCACTGACATTTAATTAGTCAGTGAGTGGAGGGTGCCTCGCCACATCAGCCCTGTAGTGTTGCTGACCTTTTCTGACTGGGTCACTCATCTGCCATTAGAGTACCACCCCAACCACCGCAATGTGCACACACAAAGACACACACACACCCTCATTACTCTCTCAGATCTAACGAAGAATACTTGAGATGAGCCAGCTGGTGATCTGGCAATTGACAGTAAGGTGGAGTGTTCTTTTCCAAAATTGGATGACGTCAAAGGATATGTTTCATGATTTGAGATGCGGACAGTTGCTATGCCTGTGCGTGTGTGCTCGTGTCCTCTGATCTTCACATCTGTATATCGATGCAGGTTTGATCATATGTTGTTGTGGCCCTTTCTTGCAGACAATTGCATCACTCTAATCAGCCATCACAGGAGAAGACTAACGACAGTTATCCTTTCATCTTCGGTCAGCGCAAAATGCCCTTTTGCAACACACGTGCGCACAGAAGGCTACACGCACGCACACACCTGTGCACCCGGTCAAAGCCAATCAGCAGTTTCCTGTTCTGTCTCCCCCCACGTCTCCTCTCCACTCCTGAGTGCTGTGACATATCAGCCAGCAACATCGGCTGCCAGACACCTCCTATCAGAATCGCTTTGGAGGCCTTTTAATCCGCCCTCTAAAGAAGTCTTTCCTGTCAATGAAGGGAAACGTGACCCCAATACCAAAGATGGAGGAGGGAGGGGAGGTCGTTATGGAGAGATCCGGCGTGAGGATCTGGCAGAGTGAGCTACCCAACTGGCCCTGTTTGCAAGTGTTGGGTTGCAGCCCAGACAGTTTTTTTTTTAATGGCTGGAGATGCTGGAAAGCATCCTCTGCGCACACATAGAAAAGAGGCAAAATACACCTTTATTGTCAAGAGTGAGAGGGTTGTGGTTCACTGGACAGAGGAGTGAAAGTTACAGAAGAAGACATGCAGAAAATCTTCCGAATACAGTGTCAAGAACTGCAAAATTTATCTTAAAAAAAAATCACAATATGCATTTAAGATTAAGTTTTAGGAAAGATTTTGTTTATTTCACTGCAGATTGCAAAGGTACACTATACATTAGAATTTCATATATTATAATTTAATAAACAAAAGCTGCAAAAAAAACTAACACAACAACTACCACTTCCAAATCCTATAATTATTGTAGAAGAAGAAGCATTATGGAAAAACAAAAAATGAATTTTTGATTTTGAATTGATTTGATTTGATATACCTGTATTAGTCCCACAAGGGGACCTATTGCACGCAATGGCGGCGCCATCTTACCCTCCGACCATACATACATTACACAAAACATCACATGGGGAAGACAGGTCAGAGAGGTATAACAATGGAAAAATGCACCACACAAGGAAAGATAAGGAGAAAAAAATAACTCCCCCCAGACTGAGCTCCAACAGGGAGTCAAAGTCAACCTTTGTGACTTGACAGCCCTGATGAGAATGAAGTGCTAAGAACTATCATTAAGGCCCCATCATGTCATCATGTTGCTGGCATGGTGTTTATCCATGTGTCATCTCTGTGGCCTGTGGAGCTCCAGCCAGAGCATCACATCTCCTCCTCTGATCCCAGAGTCACTCCATTGTCTAATAACTGGGATCATGGATGGTCCACAGATTTTGTTGTTCTTTTTTTCCACTCAGTGATTTCAGCAGCTGTCCTAGACAGAGAAGGAGAATTAATCAGATAATTCCGGCCTATGGAATGAAAAGCTGCGTTCTTGTAGACCTTAGAGGCATGTGTTTGCCCACTACATGGTTTCCACACTCTGTAATCATAGCCATTAAAAACGTGTTTCAAGCTTCGATTTGGAGACAAGAAACCTCGACAGCTTGGCCAAGCTGCCAAATAATGAATGTAAACTACTACCACAAAAAGAATGTCACAGATCCCTTAGATATCAGACAGTCTGGAATCCCTGCAGAGTCCAAATCAGATAAATGCAACCAGGCCAAAGCAGCCCTGGACTGCACCACACTCTTTCACAACAGATGATACCATTAGGTCAGAGCAGATTGTCTTTCCATCACTCCTCCATTCCTCTCGGTTCAGTCAGTTTTACACCAGGCTGTTAGACATTCGTGCTGGGTCCCTCAGTGCCTCACTTAGCACCTTAGTTCAGGAGAGAGCTTGGCCAGTGAGCAATCTGTCACCACTGTAAATACTCGGTCATCTTGGAAGGATCACTGCTAACTGAGAGAAGAGAGCTACAACATTTATGTCAGTTAAAAAAAGGAAAAATATGACCCACAAAAAGAAAAAACAGAGCACGATGTGCACACCCAGAACTCATAAATGACTAACATGGTAGAATAAATGAACCCATAATAATTTAAGTCAAGAGCAGAGGAGGCACAGATCCATATAGAAAGCATGGAAATAAAATAATAATAACAATTATAATTTTAAACAGTGCAGTCTTCAGGTGGGAAACTGAAGCCAATACTGAAATGCGGTAAACCTGGTGGGGCTGTGGGAAATAACAAATTTAAAGAAACATTTCCTGGTTTGATGAGTCCTGATTTTCACCTCAACATGTGGATGGTGGGATAAGAATTTGACGTAAACAGCATGAAAGCATGGATCCATCCTTCTATCAACAGCTCAGGCTGCTGTTGGAGGAGTAATTGGTGTGGGAGTTATTTTCTTGGCACTCTTTGAGCCCATTAGCACCAGCTGAACATCATTTAAATGCTAAAGCTTACACAAGTATTGTTGCTGACCATGTCCATCCCTTTATGACCACAATGTCCCCAATAGGACTGAGCAATTAATCAAAAATGAATCAAAACAAACTGACATTCAGACTCTCTAATTGACATAATCATGCCCATTTTGGTTATTTTCGTGTTACCCCAGTGTGCACTGTCCTCTTTAAAAGAAACTAGCCAGTTTGTGGTCACGTGACTTTGCTCTTTTTAGTTTGTGACATGCAAGCATCATGAAGGAAAGCTCAAACACCAAAGCCGGCCACAGAACTCGAACAGCTTGTGACGAATATAAAATCACGTGTTCGTTGTTTCGACATATTTTGGGGTTCAGTAAAGCCCATATTTAAACAAAAAGGGGGGGGGGGGGAAGCAGAAAACTGCAGGAAAAATTGTTCAGGTAATATCAGAGTATAACATCAAGTCAATTAAACTTATGCACGAGATAAACAGAAAGTTGTTGGAAGCGTCTTCGGGTTTGAACGTGTTTTGTTGTTTCCACCATTCCACATTAAAGTGAGTGGATCTCTTGTAATTAATATAACATGACAAAATTTAAGAGCTCGACACGTGGTGACAACTGTACTATTTTCATGTCAAGTGAAAAATATATATCATGTGAGTAAATTGTGGGAAAATCTAATCCTTTTTGCTTCGTGTAATAACACCGGAGAACACCCTTGAGCTGGAAAATGTTTCCAAACCACATAATTTTACTCCTCAATTCAAAGAATCCCTGTGCGCCCCAGGGATGATCTTCCATTACAGCCCCTGACCTCTAATCTCCAAGAGGTGAGAGGAAAGGGAATTTCCCCCGGGATCAACAAAGTATTACTTAATCATTATTAATCTGGGCCGAAAAAAAAGAAAAAGAAATGAAACAATTTGGTTGATGGAATTTTAGATCAAAAGAGATTTAGCAAATCTCCCTGTTTACCTTTAGCCATAGATAAAGTGCTTACATTGCCAAAGGCGCCACACTAAGATGTTAAGGTTTTAAAACTCTTTTCAACTGAGCCCTGGGAAAGAATGATAAATGAAGGAATTTATTATAATCTGCTGCTGGTTATTTCATTCTTAGGCGTTGTATAGCTCTGTCTCTGCTGGCTAGTTTGACACAGATTTTGCTTCAGACAGAAGGGACCAATGAGTGGAAGTACAGATACTAAGCATACATTTAGTATGTTTACTCCCCTTCCATGAAATGTAGATCCTTGTATTAATTTTGAGAATCTTTATTTAAATGTAATATTCTTTTTTTTTTTCATTCAGAGTGAGTGTCATGATCCTGGGTCCTTTTGACCCAGCGTTTTGTGTTTTCTCTTCGTGATTGTGGTTCTGTTAATTCTCTGGTTAGTGTTTACTCTGTTCTGCCCGTGTGTTCCTGTATCTAGTCCGCGTTTCTTAGTTTGTCTTTTCTTGTGTAAGTTCCTGTTTTATTGTGAAGGTCTGTGTCTTATGTGAGTGTTTTCAGTTTGCCTCCCTAGTCTCGTCATGTTAATCACTCCCAGCTGTGTTCCCACCTGTATGTAATCTCCCTGTGTTCTCTGAGTGTATTTAAGTTGTGTCTTCTGTCATAGTAATTGCTGGTTCGTCTGTGTTATTTCCCTTCCACCCTTCTGTGTTGATTCTCTGGTCATTCTCCCTGCATGTCACGTTCGTATTCCGGTTAGTGTTTTATTTAGTTTTCCCAGTTTAGAGTTTTCACCGTTCTGTTCCTCACAACCCTGTCTGTTGTACCTTTTGGTTGCAAATAAACTCACCCTCCACTTCTCACACGGCTTGCCCCGGCAAACCGTGACAGTACGAACCAGCCACAACATGGATCCAGCAGACTTGCCCGGGGAGAGGGATCTGATGCAAGTCCAACGCCTGGTCGACTGGCTAACCCACACCTCGAATACGAGAGCAAGGATCGTTGGGATAAATGGTATTGAGGCAATCCTCAACAGAAATCCCTATCTCCGCCAGGTCAGAGGATGTTTGGACTTATTGGCCAACTTGTATGAAGCCCGGGAGGCGGCGCAAGCTCGGGAACTGTCGGACTGGGTCCTGCAGCAACAAACTACAGCCACCCCGGAGCAGCCGCGTCTGCCTCACCCATCGGATGCGGTTTTTCCAGGCCCGTCGGAGCCGTCTGCGGGGAAGAAACGCCGATCGCGCCGCCTGCGCGCCACCCCACAGCCGGACGTTCAGACTTCTAATTCGCCGGCTGTGGTGAGTGAGGACTCTGTGTCTTTTCTAGACTTTTTGACTGTTCATTCAGGGGCTGTGTTTTGTGTGGCGGATGTCAACGCGAGCTGCTTATCGCCTGTGCAGCTACCGGCAGCCCAGTTAGCTCCCCCGCAGCCATTCTCAGCTCAGTTAGCTCCCCCGCAGCCATTCTCAGCTCAGTTAGCTCCCCCGCAGCCAGTGCTCCTCTCAGCTCAGTCTCCAGTGCCACCCTCAGTTCAGTCTCCTGTGCCTCCTTCGGTTCAGTCTCCTGTGCCTCTTTCAGTTCAGTCTCCTGTGCCTCTTTCAGTTCAGTCTCCTGTGCCACTTTCAGTTCAGTCTCCGGTGCCACCTTCAGTTCAGTCTCCAGTGCCACCTTCAGTTCAGTCTCCAGTGCCGCCTGTAGCGCAGGCCCCAGTAGCTCCAGTGCCGCCTGTAGCGCAGGCCCCAGTAGCTCCAGTGCCCCCGCTACCCGTAGCTCTGGCTCCAGCATTACCGGTTCCACTCATTCACTCCATGCAGGGAGAAAATTTAAGGTCCAGTCAGGGAGTTTCTCGCGCTTTAGCTGCTTCAGGCACCGTTCTGCACTCCAGGGCTTCCCCAGAGGCTAGGTCTCAGTCCCCAGCTGATTCTGGACCCCTGAAGATTAAGCAGCCCTCAGAGAACAACTCCGTGTCAGTGCTGTCTGAGCAGGGCCAGTGCTCAGCACAGCACCCATTGCCTTCGTGTCTGCCAGAGGACTCCATGCCTGCTGGCTTTGTGATGGCTTCTGCTGGAGGGTCCAAGGGGCCCGTCCAGCCTTCGTCTCGTGTCTCCGCTGGAGGGTCCGAGGGACCGCTCCGGCCTTCGTCCCTGTCTCCGCTGGAGGGTCCGAGGGACCGCTCCGGCCTTGCTCCTAGTCTCCGCTGGGGCAGGGCCTCACCGCTCGGGACGCGGTCCGAGGCCCGTTCAGTCCTCGCTGTCTCCGCTGGAGGGTCCGAGGGACGCTCCGGTCTTGTCTCCTGTCTCCGCTGGAGGGTCCGAGGGCCGCCCGCTTTAGCTCCAGTCTCCGCTGGGAGGGCCCGAGGGGCCCGTTCAGCCCCTGTCTCCGCTGGAGGGCCCGAGGAGGCCCGTCTCAGCCTCACTGTCGTCCGCTGGAGGGCCCGAGGGGCCCGTCCAGCACCTTCCGCCTGAGGTCAGCCGTTCACCTCTGAGTTATATCGCCGCTGCAGCTTCACATCCTCGCCTTGCTGCAGCTTCATCATCATCCTCGCCGGCTGCAGCATCATCATCATCCTCGCCGGCTGCAGCATCATCATCATCCTCGCCGGCTGCAGCATCATCATCATCCTCGCCGGCTGCAGCATCATCATCATCCTCACCGGCTGCAGCATCATCTCAGCCTCGTCTTGTCCAGCCTCAGAGCCTTCATCCTCGTCTGGTCCAGCCTCATCCGAGTCTTCATCCTCGTCTGGTCCAGCTTCATCCGAGTCTTCATCCTCGTCTGGTCCAGCTTCATCCGAGTCTTCATCCTCGTCTGGTCCAGCTTCATCCGAGTCTTCATCCTCGTCTGGTCCAGCTTCATCCGAGTCTTCATCCTCGCCTGGTCCAGCCTCTGCAGCCTCGCCTGGTCCAGCCTCTGCAGCCTCGCCTGGTCCAGCCTCTGCAGCCTCGCCTGGTCCGGATCACCATCGCTTGAGTGGCCGCCGTTGCCGTCCGCACGGTCGGCCCCCTGAACTCTTTTTGTCTTGGACTCCTGTGC